AAGCTAGGGCTGTGGTTGAAGGGTGTAGCAGCTGGATAAATAAGTCTTTATTCATGTACGATCCGAGATGTTTTCCTTTGAATGAGAGACAGAAAACCAGAATGCCTCTTAGTTGTACCCGGACAGGTGGGTTTTCTGGCGAGAAGGGAACTGTATAATTTTCCATATTTCCTAGGTTCCCTGATTTAGTGTGTGTGTTTGATTCATTATTGTTCCCTTAGGTAAGCACACAGAATCTCATATTTAGTAAACAGAACTTAAACTGTGATTTTATGTGCAGTAAACTGTATTCCCAAAGTTTTCCCAGTAGCTACAAAATAGCTGAAACATTTGCTTATGGGGGAATTGGATTAACCACACAATATTGTTTAAATGTTGCAGTTGAAGACACTGAATGCTTTAGGTGGACATTATATTCTTGGGGTAGTTATAAAACATAAAGACACATAAAGAGAAGAACAGAGACTTCTTTGTGTTTGTATTTAGCCAAAATCACTACACCTGAAAGAATGCGTTGCTTTTAGGATACATCAAAAGGGAGCTGGTAGGTTTTGTGTAACAGTTTAAATGTCTTCCTGAGCTCACTAAAACACCCTGCACTCTGCAGGGCTTGTCTGTCCCTCTTCAAGGGGAGAAAAACTTGATTTAGGGCAAGAAGCTGAACTTTCAGCCCAAGGGTGGTGCGGATCTGAAGGCTTTGGCAGAAGAACTGGGGCAAGAGGGACTGTTGAATTCCTGCTTCTGGGAATCCGGAGGCAACTGGCTGGCTGATCCAGCAAGGCTATTCTTAAGTGACACAAGCTGTAATCTCGGTCCTAGCTGTCCTTCCGTTTCAGGCATATAGGATGTGAGGAATTTTTCCGGGGAGAAGCATAGCCTTGGAAAGTTTTCCTTTGAAATCGTTGGTGCTGGATGCAGTGCAGAGCGCTTAGTCTCTCAACAGGAACCACCGTACAAGAGGAAATCCCTCTTGAGAGAGCAGGAGGGCTCAAACCTCTGCACAGCACACCAAATGGACTTTTGCTGGGCATCAGATTAGCAGGGAGAGTCCCTCTAATAGAAACACAGAAACAGAGCAAGTCAGACGGGGCCTCCCAGGCCATCTAGTCTGACCTCCGGCTCCAGCTGGCTCCGCTCACGACTTGCCCACCATGTGGACGTCCAGCCTATCCTTGAACACCCGCACCGATGGGGCCTCACCCACCCCCCGTGGAAGCCCATTCCACACCCTCGGGGTCCTGACTGTCAGGAAGTGCTTCCTGGCATCTAAATGCAACCATGGTTCTCTGAGCTTTGCTCCGTTGGAGCGCATTCTGCCTTCCTCTGCAGGGGAGAACAGGTCTCTGTCCACCTCTGTGTGACATCCCCTCACATACCTGCATGTCGCCAACAGATCCCCTCTGAGTCTCCTCTTCTCCAGGCTGAAGAGACCCAGTTCCCTCAGTCTCGCCCCATACCCCATCCACTGCAAACTGGCCACCAACCTTGTGGCCCTTCGCTGCGCTGACTCCAGCCTGGCTATATCCTTCCTGTAACGAGGGGCCCAGCACTGAGCACAAGGCTCCAGCTGCAGAATCTAACAGTCCTCTGTTTTCACGAGGGAGTGCTTTTAAGAGAGAGAGAATACTGCCCGATTAATCGGAGCATTTTGGCTTTTATTCTTTAAAAGCCTGGATGTATCCAGAGCATCCATTTGAGCTGCAGATTTGCATCATACTTCCAATCAATCCTATAAGATGCGGGTGTAGGAATGGAACTGCATGTGACCCTGTCGGCTACGTTTTCAGAAGTGTATAGGTGTTATCACGAGTGGCCTGACTTAGAAACGTAGCGAAGAATTCCTCTGAGAATCTTTTGTTAAAATCCAGCTGCTAGTCCTCAGGGTTGGCTTCCGGGCCTAGCTCAGTTTGCCCAGTCTTTCAGTCATGCCCAGGAGCCACAAGTGCATCCTCTTGCATCCCGCCAGGAATCCTGGGAGCCATTCCCGGGGAGGATGAAGCAAAGAGGCCGCTCTGGATGCAAGGGTGCGTCTGCAGCACTCTCTGGCCCTGAGCACAGACCAGACTGCCTTTGCGGGCCTCTGTACTGGGGTATTGTGAGCAGATTAGCTCTGAGTGCCTGCCCAGGAGGGAGGTGGTGGCTGAGCGGCAGGGTGGCTGCCTGGGAATTGCCTTCGGTGGAACTCCAGCTGGGGGAAAAGCCGTTGGCACGTGAAGCATCTTGAACCAGCCTCCCCGCCCTCCGTGCCGGGGCGAAGTCGCACGCCATGTTCTGTTGACAGTTATTTTATTTTAAAAACTGCAGCCTGGGGAGCTGAAGGGATGTTTGGGTTGGTGCAAAACTCTCACCAACTTGTTTAGATCTCTCCAGAGAAGCCTGCAGGGTCATGTTTGGTTTCCATTGGCAACTGGCGTGTTTACCATTCGCCTTTGTGTGTGTGAGTGTGTGTGTGTGCGATTGCTTGTGATTCCAGGGCAGGTGAAATACCGAATGGTACAGATGCTGAGAAACTGACTGCTTGCAGGATGGACTTGCTCCGAGTCTTAAGAGCTAAGCAAGATGTACTTCCAATTGCTAGGAATTCCTTTCCACCCTTTGGAACGCAACACATCTTGGACTTTGAGATGGTGAAAATATGGAGGAAACTGGGGAACAGCCAGGTGGGGAATTTTGCCAGACGTCAGCCCATCGGGCTGAATGACGTCACCCTAAGCCAAAGGAAAGTTTCTGGTTAAATTTATTAGATATATATTTATTTATCACAGGCATTTATATCCCATCCTATCACCAAGCGCTCAGGGCAGCTTACAAAATATAAAAGTACAATATAAAATATGAAAATACAATATAAAACATCAATTATTGAAACAATATAAAACACATCACGAACTTAAGAAAAAGGAGGAAAAAATAGAAAGTGCAACTGTGAAGGAAAAATCCTAAAACATCTAAAACCGTTGGTATTTATTTATTTATTTATTTGGAGTTTTTATATGCCGTCTCATCGCTGAACACGTAAACAAACATAAATAGACAACATAGTACCCAATACAAATACAAAAAATATAAATTACACAAATTAAAATAATGGTTGAATTAAAAGGTCTTTACCTGGCACCGGAAAGAGTCTAACATCAGTGCCAGGCAGACCTCTCCAGGAAGCAGATTCCATAGTAAGATTCCATAAATCATACCCATCCTTCCTCCAAGAGAGTGGAGCAGGTTATTGATTATTGATTCATTTATCTGTTCCTTGCATTTGTATGCCACCCCTGGCCACAGGCTCTCTGGACTGCTCACAGTACAATATAAAATACAAATAAAAACAACAATAGCACACCAAAGCCATAAACAAACAGGATTAAAATACAATATAAATACAACAAACACATAGAAGAGGAGGAAATAAATGCAATAAAATACAATATAAATACAACAAACACATAGAAGAGGAGGAAATAAATGCAATAAACGAATAACAAGAACCAATAAAGCAATAAAACAATTAACCAGCAGCAAAGCAGGTCCAGTCTAAAAACAAATACTAAATAAAAATGTCTTGACTTGGCACCGAAAACAAGATAAAGTGGGTGCCAGTTGCACTTCCCGTGGAAGGGAATTTTCCTTGGCAAGTCCCCCCTCACCATATTTAGGGAGGGTTCGCGAAGGAGGGCCTCCATTGATGACCTGAGTGACTTGGGAATGATATATGGAGACAGGCGTTAAGGTGTCCCAGTTACAAGCCATTTTAGACTTAAGCTTATAAGTCAGAAAAAGACCAACCCAAAGCCTTAGGGTTGGATGAACGTTGGTTTCTCCCAATTTCTCATTTTTTCTGCTTTCACATTTACATGGTCCTTTCCCTCATCAACTGGCAACTTGTTTTGAAGGTTCTCTGGAAAGTCTGCGTGCATTTCCACGTGCATGTTTATCAATATACATGTTTGGACGAGCACTTTCCTGTGATACAAGCTTTTTAAAAATAAAAATATGTAGATAACACATTTGCTACAAATATGTTAAGGACCGTGCATGCTTTCTCCGGCATGCCCATTTTTATATCTCTCCTTTTCAGCTTGGAGAACCACACTGCAAATTTCTGATAAGGTTCTAGTGTGACTTCTGAGAACGTGCGCTATGCAAATTTCTCCCCACTGCTACCAAGTCGGTCTCGTGAACTTCAGCTCCTTGCTTAGCTATAGAGCACTTGTTTCTGAGTAAATGTGACCTTGTAAGAAACATTCATTGACATACAGCTTCGGGGATGCTTGGTGTATAATCCTGATTTAAACAGCAAATGTGAACCATAATGTACTGAATCAGGTGCAATGTCAAACTAGTTTTCTTTTCTTTTAATTTTCTTAAACCTGCTTTGCTGCTGAAAAAGGCTCACAGGGGGCTTCTGAGTTTCTCTCCTTTGCAGGATTTGTGGCCATTAGAGGAAGGATCTAGCTGAAACTGGGGGAAAATGGTTTGCCTTATTCGAAACTAGATCCCCAGGTGGCTGCCATCCTTGATATATTTCCTTTCCCCACTGGTGTTCCCCCAGGACGACTTCCCTCCGTGTAGTTTGGCGATAAAATTTAAACCAGCATAAAAAAAGCTTTCTCTCCATGGATTTTAATTCTGTTTGCTGGAGGTTTTAACTCAGACCCTTGGCTTTCAGAAGAGACTGAGATGACCGATAGTTAATCTCATTTGGGGCCTCAAAGGGGTTTGGAGCCATAAAAGAACTATTCCTGTGCAAGTTTCTGGATATCTCAGTCGTGGTTTGGTTTTTATAGGGGTGGGGAAACTGTACCAGACAGGAGGCTGAAATCTGGGGACTTTTTGGGGCTAGGAGAGTTTGACAATGTCCTGGAAGGGCTGGGCGGTAGGTCTCCTTGGGTGTACACGGCACAATAGAGTCTGGGGGAGGCTGGTTACTCCAAGATGCAGGCAGCTGTCTCTTTTGAGCTTGCCAGCATAGCTAAAGTTTGCTGTTCTTCCTCTTCCTCCAGCCATCAAGGTGAGCTGCGTCGGCTTCTGTGGAGTGTCCAGCAAAGTGAACGACACAGCATGGACCGTGGACGAACAGTATTTCAACACCACGCTCTCCCTGGCAGATAAAGGTACGGGTTCGGGGTTTGGAAGTTGTCTTGGGCCGTGTGGCAACAAAGACTTCCCGTCTCTTTGACTTTGTTCCTGACTTGGAGCCGACGTGCAAGCTGGGCTCCGCACACGGCTGCAAGCTTCTTTTACGGGTCCGGGCTTCAAATCCTTAAATCACAACTGGATGGAAGTTTGTCTGTGGGGTTTTTTGTAAGCTGTGGAGCTTATCTCCATGGCAAGGAAAAACCCTTCCTCCTCCCTCCCTCCCTCCCTCCCTCCCCCCCCCCCCCCCCCTCCCCCCCCCCCCCCCCCCCCCCCCCGCCTTGTGAGGCTGCAAGTCCTTCCCTTGTGTGCATGTGGATGTTTTGCAAGGTTTCCTCTGCGGTGAACTTGGAGGCCAAGAGTTACAGGGAGACATGATAGGGGTCCTTCTGAACTGGTCGCCCAGAGTGCAGGACTCGATCAAGGGAGCAAAAGTCCAGCCAGGCTGGTTTCAGCTAAGACTTGGGGCAAATATGGGCCTTGCTGCCCTCCATTCTTCTCTTTCATGCCCCCAATTCTTTTTAAAAAATCCTCCTTTAGCAAAAAGCCAGGCCCTAAGAGACTTGGCTTGGCTTGGCTTGCTGCAAGCTACACTCGTCTGTTGTAGCGTTCGAGAGCTGTTACAAATAAAACCAACCCCTTTAGCACACTGGAGCAGTTTGTGATGCAAACTGTTGATTTTTTAAAGAATCAGGTAAGGTGGGAGATGTCTTGGGGGATAAAGCGAAAGAGCTGTTGGGGGTTAGAGTTGTGCAACGATTTAAGCACGACACTCCTTTCCCCAAACTCCTATTTTTCCTCTCTTTAGCTGGAGCCAGGGGCCAGTCTAGATGGCCCAGGAGACCCCTTCTGACTTCCTCTGTTTCTATGTTTCTATTCTTCTCGCCTGCCTTAAATGAGAAGAAGGTGCTGGGACATCTTTCAGGGTGCATTAAAAGAAAAAAAAAATGCGATAGCTGTGCTAAAGAAGTCCATGAAACGATCCTCGTGCTCTTAACAAGGGAATCCAAGCGTTCATGGAACAAAGGGTGCCACCACCTCCAAGCTTTCCTGGCTAGCTGGGTTGGATGCGCATGTTGCGGGTAGACAGTGTACTTTTTCCTGGGCCGCGGGGGCGGGGTGCACCTGTTTAGGATCCAGAAGGGGATTCTGGCTGAAGAATGGATAATGCCTGCAGCTCACAGGCCAGGCTGGAAGGGGACTGAGTTCCCTTTCACGGATCTTTGTTCATCAGCTGGACATGAGCATGGAAATTAGACTGGAAACCAAGAACGCTGGCAAGATGAATTCCAGCCTCCCGTCGCCGCTGGGGCTCTCGCCGCCGCCGCTTTCCGTGCCACCCCGGGGCCGTCTTCAAGGATGGCCTCACACAGGACGGTCTCTGGACAAGAGAAGCCACGTTCTAGCAAATGCACAGACCTCCTCTCTGCATAGATCCCACACCCAAGGACAGGCCCTGCTTGATGGGCCCGTTGAAAATCCTACCTGCCTGCCAGGAGGAATGCCGTAGTCAGGGGGTCCCAGCAGCCCCCGTCCTGGGTCCCAACACAGAAGAAGGCATGGCACAAAGATGGCTGGGGTACGTGCAGGGAGGACGTGCCGTGATCGGGGCCCCACAGTGGCTGGAAGTGCACCTGGGCTTGGGGGACTGTTTCCTCATGAGTAGCAGGAAGGGAAACAGCTCAAAAGGGGAGTCTCGACTTGCTGGTTTCTTGGCTGCGTCGGATGGTGCCGATCAGCTTTGCGTCTCTCCCTGCCACAGACGGATGGAGCAGTGCGGGCTTCCTTAGCCCGGTGGCCTCTGGATTTACAGGCCTACCACCCCCATCATCCCCAGCCAGTTGCCATGCTTGCTCTGGATGGGAGTTGCAAGCGGATGCAGAGAGAGGCTTCAAGGTTGGGGAATGTTACTTTTTTGCTGGGAGAGGCTTTCCCAGGTGCGGGGATCCTAAACCCGGCTGGACCACTTCGCCGTGGGTTCTTTGTGTGGGGTGGAGTCAGCACCCAAAGCTGGTAGCCTGATCCTTGCCCTGGGCTTGTGCCAGAAGGTAGAAAGGGCCTGGCCGTGGTCTGGTTTGACAGGGGACGGCACCATGCCCCCCCCCCCCAGCCTGTAAATGGGCTTGGAATAGGAAAACAGTAATTTTAGGAGGCGTCCGTTGAAGCGCAGAACAGTGTGGCTTTGTTGCCGCATGCCCACTGGAGGCGGAGGGGGCGGTGCGGGGCGGCAGAGAAATTTCAGGTGACTCACTGGAAAAAGGGGAGGGAGCTGTCCGAAGGGAGCGGCGAACAGGCTGGGCCACTTCTGCTCCATCCGGCCGGATTCCTGGAGCAAAAGCGAGTGTGACCCAGCGTGCCCCCTGCTCCGGATCCGCAAATCGCACGGTTGCCGCTCAGCTTCTGCGCTGCGATCACGGAACAAGCTCGGCTTTGTTTTCTGTGCACCGGACGGGCAGATGCTATCGTACAAAGGGGCTGGAAGCGCAGCAGGAAGCGTACCGGGTCCAACTGGGATCGCTGGGCTTTGAGCCTCGCTCTTGAGAGGGAATGGCACGTTTTTGTGCTGGGGGCGTTCACACAATCCAGCCCTCCTCCGAGTCTGCCACTGGGCGAGGGTGGTCGTGATGCCTGGAGCCGGCAAGGTGGCTGGCCGGACTGGCTAACGATCTCCCTGCAAGCTCCGCTTTGCTCCACGGCTTTCCTGGGACTTCCTTAGAGCTCTAGGAACGGACGGTGTGAAGCAAGATTCGCTGCACACTGCAGTCTTCCAGTCTTGACACTAATGAGGATGATAATCATGTATGTTGGCCTGGGACCCCCTGTCTACCTTAGGGCCAGTCTCTGCCCTCTTCCTAGCCTACCTCACAGGGTCGTTGTGAAGACCAAACGGAAAAGAGCATGCAAGCCATCTTGGGTTTCTTCCCCGTGGGGAATGCACCACAGGACCAATTTTGCTCCCAGGGCTTGCTTGGGAGTCTAGTGACTGGGGAGCGGCAAGCTGGGTGTCACTTGGCTGGATGTCTGGATTCTTCTCCCTGCCGAAATTTGGCCCATGCTGTTGCCCAAGCGGGACTTCTTCTGTTGTAGTGAAAACATCTTTTCCTGGGCAATTTTAGATGGCAAGTTTGAGCCTGTTTTTTATAGAGATACTGGTAGTGTCCTCCTCCTCCATCACCATCTCTGCCTCTCCCAAGTTCTCCTTCTTCAACACCATCTCCTCCTCCTCCTCCTCCTCAGGGTTGAGTTTCACTTTTCCTTCCTCTCCTTGGGTGTCTTTGTGTTGTTGGGTGTTGCCAAGTTGCCTCTGACGTAACGACAACCATAAAAATGAGCTTTCTCCAACTGTCCTTCCCGACCTTGCCCAGCTCTTGCCAACGCCGGGCCGGGGCTTCCGGGATGCAAGGTTCCCTGGAACGTGTTGTTTCCTCTGGACTCTGCGGGGAGACACTTCCGCCGCAGGGTTTCCCAGCAGGTGCGACACACCTGGTGCTGACCATGTGCGGCACATCTCTACCCTCTTCTGCCTCCCCATTCCCCCGCCACGTCCATCGCAGTGATGGGCCCATGGGTAGTGCAGCAAAACACCTGCAAACCCAACCTGAAGGAGAAGGGCCGGTTGTCCACCTGTCTGCTTGCTGCGGGCCCCTAACCCAGCGCTCCTTCCTTGGCGCATAACCGCGGCTGCATTGAGTCTTCCTGCCAAGGATCAGGGTGGAGACAACAGGCCCTCTGTCACTCAGAGAGCGCCTTGGGGACGGTGCCCTAACCTCACCCCGCCTTTCTTGTGAGCTGCTTTGGCGGGCCTGCCCCCCCCCCCCCCGAGAGGACTTGCCTGCTGGATTAGATGGATGGCTCTGATCCAAACTCCTGAACGTGAATAACACCTCCTGGGTGCACACTTGTGTCCCTAGTTTGACTGTGACTGTGTGGGATGTCATTCGAAGAACAGGAGAAGGGCAAAACTGGACTAGTGTTTTACCCTTGCTGCTGAGATGGGAGATGCAAGGATATGCGGCCTTATCTTTTGGAGCGCGGACCAGCGGCTGCAGCCAGGGTTGAGTTTTTGAAACCCCTGGGATCGTGTGAGGCCTTCCAGCCTCGCGTCAACCTGTTGCCTGTGGGAAGCCCCCTAATGGGACAACAGCCCCCTGCTGCTCAGCAGCCTGGTACTGAGACGAGGATCGCAGAAGGTCCCGGTTTGCTTCTCAGCGTCTCTGGACAACAACACTAGAGAAGGCCCTTCGCTGAGTCCCTGCAGAGCAGGGTGTCCATCTGGGATGACCATTCTGGCCCGCATCAACCTTCCCCAAATGTTCTGGACTACAGGCCCCATCAGTCACAGACAACATGGTCAACAGTCTGGCTTGCTGGGAGTTGTAGTTGAAAACACCTGGGGGCACGAAGTTGAGGAAGACTGAGCCCGGTCGTGGGACTCTGCACCTCGTCCCAGCCTGGCCTGCCAGGAAGCGGCAGAAAATTTCAGGTGTAGCTTCCCCGAATGGTGTGGCTGGATTCTACCTGGGGCCCAAGTCTGAATGCTGTTTAGCCCTCCAATGCCCCTTGCTGGCCAGCTTCCGTGGCAGAACAACCCACAGCAAGCCCAGTTGGGGGGCACAGGTTGAGTGCGGGGGCTATACCACCGTTGTCTGAGGACAGCTTAGCTCAGAGGGGAGTCAGGGCGGATGGGCTGGCCAGTGATGTCTGTGGCTTCCGAGGGCTTTGCCCCTTTGAGCTTTGGGCATCGTCTACTAACGCTACCCTTTGGGGCTGTTTAGTCCCCACCTCCGGTTTGACTCCATCCATTGCGATTCTTCGCCTTCGAGGAGAGAACCTGTGCGTGTCTCGGTGCGTGCGCCCACGCATGCATGCGCGCCAACGCATTGCACAGATGTGTTTTGATTGGCATTGAAGGAGGACTGCATACTTGTTAAGCCTTCAGTGGATTTATTGGTGCAAAGGAGAATAAAAGGACCTTGTG